ATATTAATTTTTTTTAATTTTTTTAAATTAAATTTTGTAAAGAAACCAAACACCACTTATGCGCTGACACACATATACACACACTTACATACATATCCTAGTTTAAAAACTTTCCTTAAGTTTAATTACTTTTCTGTTGTAAAACAACAATGCGTCCTTATTGCGTCCTGAAATGCGAAATATCAAGAAAGTCAAACCAGTTCTTTTAACTCGAAATTGTTATATTTACAATTTAGCGCAACGGTGTAATTATATTCATGAAAACACTTAAAAACAAATTATTTGCTTTAAAAATACTGCGCATCACTAAACTTTATGCTTGGAACCTTTAAAAGGTGCGGCGTCCTTCATAATTTGTCCATTTTATATACAAACATATACACAAGCCAACCTTTATTAGTATTACTTACGCTGTTAAAACTTATTTTAATACTTAATTTTTGATGTAATGAAATTTTAGAGTGTTTTTATATTGAAAGTAGTTACGGCAGAAGGGAAGCTGACGAAATTTATTTGAAAAACTTTGTACTTTTATTCAAAACATTTTTGTATACGTTTCCATGATTTTTAAGTCTAAGCCGAATGTAAAGGAATGAACAAATTATGTACTACGATTACTAACAATATTTATTGTGAAACAATAATAAGAATTCAATAAAGATAAAAAAGTATACATACATGCATGTTTCGAAAATATGAATTTTGGGTGCTTCATTTAAAAAATATTTTTTTTTTCTTTTTTGTTTTTGTCGGTAAAGTCTTAATTTGGGCATCAAATATCTATCCCTTGGTAAGATAAGTAGTTTGCGTTATGTTAAGGCTGATCCAAATGGTCACCAAGTGCCCTAGAAATTACAAACAATTCGCCAACGAAGTGTATTCTCTGAAGTTGTCATAGAAGGTTAGATCCTGATTTAGGTCTACATTGACGGGGTTGAGGCCAGCGAAAGGGATAGATAGGTTGATAGAAAATAATTGAGGTTTTGCACTGCGACCAATGGTCTTTTGGGCCCTTCCTATATCACATAGGAGCACAAAGGTTCAACACTCTGAATAATTCTAGCAGCTTGCTGAGCGGTGCTGTGATAACTGCCCACGTAGATGGATCCTACGACCTGCTTCTAGAACCAGATGTTTGAGTAAGCATGCAAAAAGAGCTAATGTCTGTATTAAGCCTAGACAGATTCTAATATTATTTGCTATAATATCCGGATGGAAATTGTGCGGTAATTTTATTTTTAAGTATCATGGAACGACTAAGGAAAATTAGAACCTCGATTGAATAGCGATTTGATTTAAACGGAACAACCAAGAGAAAGATGTTCAGTCAGGGTTACATGGGTTTCGTCGAGCAAAGAACTTTTTATTATTTCGAAAATACATATTTTACAAAGATTTTGAAATTCCCGACATCATTTCCGGTAGCCCCTCGGAAAAGCAGCGCTGACAGCAGAAATTCTTAAAAGGTCCTCAAAAGTAAAAAAAAAAAAAGTAAGGAAAGGCTAAGTTCGGGTGTCACCGAACATTTTATACTCTCGCATTATAAAGTGATAATCGAGATTTCAGGCGTGGTTGTCAACCGATTTCACCCATATTTGGTACATGTCATCAGGGTGTTAAGGAAATATTATATACCGAATTTCATTGAAATCGGTTGAGTACTTCCTGAGATATGGTTTTTGGTCCATAAGTGAGCGACGCCACGCCCACTTTCCATTTTTAGGAAAAGCCTGGATGCAGCTTCCTTCTGACATTTCTTCCGTAAAATTTAGTGTTTCTGATGTTTTTTGTTAGTCGGTTAACGCACTTTTAGTGATTTTCAACATAACCTTTGTATGGGAGGTGGGCGTGGTTATTATCCGATTTCTTCCATTTTTGAACTGTATATGGAAATGCCTAAAAGAAACGACTCTTTACAGTTTGGTTGACATAGCTATGGTAGTTTTCGAGATATGTACAAAAAAGTTAGTAGGGGGCGGGGTAACGCCCACTTTTCCAAAAAATTACGTTCAAATATGCCCCTCCCTAGTGCGATCCTTTGTGCCAAATTTCATTTTAATATCCTTATTTATGGCTTAGTTATGACACTTTATAGGTTTTCGGTTTCCGCCATTTTGTGGGCGTGGCAGTGGGCCGATTTTGCCCATCTTCGAACTTAACCTTCTTACGGGGCCAAGAAATACGTATACCAAGTTTCATCATGATATCTCAAGTTACAGCTTGCGCGGACGGACGGACAGACGGATGGACGGACAGACGGATGGACGGACAGACGGACGGATTCCAACTCTACTCGTCACCCTGATCACTTTGGTATATATAACCCTATATCTGACTCTTTTAGTTTTAGGTAGACCGTTATGTGAACAAAACTATAATACTCTCTTTAGCAACTTTGTTGCGAGAGTATAAAAACAAGTAAGTGGTTTAATAGGACCTAATGTGCAGAGCATATTCAAATATGGCAGCGAAGAACTGTTAAAGAGCATCAGCTTCTTTGTAAAATATATGGTCGGACGAAGCCCAGCGCCAACAAACTGATTAGACCTTGTCAGTGTGACTTTAGACCTGGAAGACCTACAAACGACCAAATTTTCACCATGGGCCAAATCTCGGAAAATACCCGTGCAAGGAAGTTCGACAAACACCACCTCTTTGTGGCTTTTAAAGACGACTTCGAATGCCACTATGTTTGCACTTGATATCCCCGGAAAGCTAATGCGATTGTGTAAGCTGACATCAGGATCGAGAAGGACCTCTCCGAGCCGATTCCCTTTCGGCCGACTCCTTCAATCTACTCTTGGAGAAAGTAATTCGAGCTGCAGAACTAAATAGAGAATTTACTATATCTCACTCATAGTATTCACTTCACTCGGGAGCTATCATTTTCATTCATGTCTCATTACATGATGTCCGGTTAAAATTATTTCAATGTACTATAGAGCGCTATTTAACGTGGGCGAGGCTGCCAGTGCTTCTGGAAATTGTAGCGATTTGCAGACGTGCATATAAGTCTCTTCGATCTACATATATAATCGAATAGGGAGCTGATTGTTTATCAAGATCCTGT